GCCACAAGTCGCGTTTTATGAAAGTATCACCTCAGACCTCTAGCATTACACCCATAGAGGTGTACGTACCTAAACAGACCGAGTTTATCGATTTGACAAGAAGTTTTGTGGAATTAGATTTAGCCTTTCAAACCACAGCCATTGGCAATCTCACTTCCCGAGCAGATACAGACTGTAACCTCTTATCACCCGTCAATAACATAGCTCACTCCCTGTTTAAACAAATTAATGTGAAACTCAATGGAACTCTCATCACCGAGCAAGTGGACATGTATCACCTGAAAGCCTACATACAGACCCTTTTGAATTTTGACCGCGCAGACGGGGAAACCATCGTAGCTCCAGCCGGGTTGAGAAACGATATCGACTCTCCCGAAATGTATACAGCCATGGTACTTTTAATGCGTTATCATCCACCCAGAAAGCGAGTATCAAAACACAGAAAGCAGATGTCCGGAATTATTATGCGTTAGGAAAACACAGAATACTGAGAATGGTTCTCTTTGTGGATATTTTCCATCAAGGGAAATGGTTAGTGCCCAGGACAGAGATGGATTTAAAATTTTATCTCAATCCGGTGGTGCTTTACTTTAACGTGGAAGACAATCCTGGGGCCGAAGAAGTCCGGCAAAATGCAGACCATATCAAACTCACCTTTTATGTCTGCTTAGTATCCCTCAATCCCTCTGTGTACGATAATGCCATGAGCATCATCACCAAATCTCCAGCCAAATATCCCATCATTCGTACAGAAATGCGACAGTTTCCCCTCGATATTGGGGCTACTTCTAAAGAAATCATGAACCGTTTAACGGGAAAATACCCCAGAGAATCGTGCTGGGAATTCTAGCCACCACAGCCTTTAATGGGCAACACGACAAAGACCCTTTTGCCTTTGGGCAATTTGGAGTGGAATGAGTCAAACAGATGTGGAATGGAGAAGAATACCCTTACGAGACGATGCAATTGAACACAGGGAACGGGTACAGAGATATGATGGGGTATCATAGGCTTTTGGAAGCCACTGGATGCCTGTATAGAAAAGGTGGAAACATGATTCGAGCTGCCGAATGGGGCCATGGAAAGAATTGTACCCTGTTTGCCTGGTCAAACATAGCCAACGGAAGACACGATGATCCTATCTTACTCCCTAAAGAAGCAGGGTTTATTAACATCCAACTGAAATGTGCAGCACAAACAGCGCAGAGAACCATTGTGATTTACAGCGACTACGAAAATAGCGGTACCAAATCCACAAACGACGCTGACTTATTTCTCAAAGATCGAGCATTGAGAATGCAAAGCAACAATTGTTGCGTATCGTTCTTGATATTTTCCAATACTTGCTGATGCTTGGCCACAATAATGTTGACCAAGTTACGCAGACACGGCGGTGCACGATTGCCAGCAGCATAAGCAAAGTCGCCGTTTGTCGAGTGTCGATTTCCGATTACAGTTTAAATAACAGAGGGGCCAGGATTTAAACTTACGTCACCAAATTTGATCAGTCGAATCAGCTGAAAACTGGAAGTTGAATTGTGATGATAGTTCACTCTGGCGCCGAGGTAACTCATTCCACGAAGTCGACAACCAAAATGGCGGCCTAATCTTCGAGTGGAGTTTACATGTATATTGCTTGTTATCACTTCCAACGAAGACAGTGAGCTGCCAAAGCGAAGCGGTGTACAAGAGAAATAATACAGGCTATTTCCAGATAAATATTTCTCAGGGTAAAGACCAAATAAAAACAATAAAAATGATAAAACTACGGAGCCAAGAAGAACACGTCCGAGTGCCATGCTGTCCGCTGACCTTCTACACCGGGAACTAGTACACCTAAACCCATCGCGTTTCCTTTTACTCTGAGAAGTCTCAAAGACCTACCTTCGATACCCATTCTTACGGGAAAACGATTGTTACCTTCGACTCCTCTCACCGGACCAAAGGCGGGGAGTTCTCATAAACCCTCTCCCAAAGTAAAAAAGACCACCCAGCAAGTGTGGGACCCGTGGGACGCGAGAGGTTGGGATCCAGTAAAAGCCGTACAACATGCCGAATACCAGCCGAGTGCGCCGAAAGAGAAGGGCAAAGGCAAAGGCAAAGGGATGGGGAAAGGGAAGAAGTAAAATAAGAAGACAGTCTGGAGGAAAAGTAGATCTTCAAAAGTGGATTAATAAACTGGGTGTAGAATTTCATTGGCCCGGTTATCAGTATATGGGGCTTGGTACCAAATTAGCCATGCGTCTCAAACGCGGGGATCCGGGTATTAATCATCTGGATAAGTTAGCCAAACAACATGATATCGATTATAGAAAAGCTAAAAATCTAGCCGATCGTAAAATGATTACCGGTATTCAACGATTCGGTAAAAACATGATGACCGAGCGCATCGTAAAACGCATCATGCAAGCTAAAGTAAAAGCTGGACTGTAATAAAAAGTAATAAATCGTGTTGAAAAGGTATCATTTGTTTGTGTCTTTATTGGAGTGACGATGGAATCCTATTATTTGACCCTTCTGAGTAACAATGACAGTATCAAGTATTTCCCAGAAAATACCACCAATTCCTGGAAAAATCGCCTTTCATCCCTAATTGCATTAGATAAAGACTGGGAAGTGGGAATATCAAGTATTTCGCTTCCGCACGAATCTCGATTGAAAAAATACCTCAATAATCTCCCGATGCCACTAGACTACTCACCACCAAACGACGGGTGTACGTGGTGGTCACGCAACAGCTTGATGTCACTACCACTTACGTGCATTACAGTGATATCAAAGACAAACCCATGGACACACCACAAGATCTCAATGCCTTATTCGAAGTGGAACGTGAAAAGTATCTTTTAAACTTGGGTGAATCTGGGGT